GTTTGATCTGTGATGTCCAAAGATTGCAGGAGAAGGGGTAGTAGAGTAGGAAGTTCCGGCATCACAATCTCCGAAGGAACAGACGCCATTATGCCACTCATTGCTACGAGAAAGTTCTCTTTTTCAAACGGTGACTGTGATGTTTTGAATTTGTCGGAGATCATTGGCGTGAGCGTCTGGAAGACACGCTGAGGAGCGAGCAATCTAATTTGTGCCCCATTCTGCGTGGACAAAATGTCGTCTGATGCTAGGATGGTGGCGAAACCCCTGGCTGCTCTCTGAGAAACTTGGTAAGGGTACTGCCTTGAGTCCAGGAGCTCGACGAGATGGGTCAGATACTCGTTTGTCCTCGGAGAAAGCCGGAGTATCAGAGCCTTGAATAGAGAAAAGAGGAGACGAATGTCAAAGTCGGGTTGTGTGGTCTCGTCCATGGGTTCGTCCTTGAGCGCTAACAACTTCTGTGAGACCAGACGGTCAACAAACCCAAGGTCAACCGCTGAAATATGCTTGTTGACATAGAGGGCAACTTGAGAAAGACAGCTTTGAGTGACCGCTGGACTTTGAGCATTTGAAGCAAATGACACCAAGTTTTGGATACTTTGGCATACTTGGTCTCTTGCAAGTAACGAAGAGTTGGTGCCCTTGGGAACAGCTGCCAAAAGCCATGTCGACAAAATGGTTCGTGTAGGCTGGCTGATTAACAGAATTAGGTTATGAGGTATGTCGCCACTTGATGAATGGCTGAACAAAGAGTAGAAGCTTTCTGCGGTCTGTTGGGTTGCCTCTTTCGAAGAGTGTCGGACGATCAGGTTCATAATTCGACCGAGCAGGTCCAGCACGTTCTCATTCGCCAGAGGACCTTGGTTGACGTCTGATATCCTTCGGGATATTGTCACGACGACGCGTTCGAAATATGCATCCAATGTAGCATTTTGTTCTGAAACCCTTCGATTCAACACGTAGAGGACCGTGCCCAGGATTTCACAAGTGTAAGGAAATGGCGGTCCCTGACTGGAGCTGAAAAGGATGTCCAATTTATTCAGGAGACGTCTCATCAGAGTCCCTAGCAACTCCTTCTCGAGGCTGATCTCCGCTAGTCCTTCAAGCACAGAGCGGGGATCGCTAGTACGTGCCCCTTCTTCAGAGTCAGGTAAGCGTGCCATGAAAGCTGGGAATGTGATGTTGGAGATCAAATTAGGCTTGAATTGAGATATTTCGGCCAATGCTGCCATGGCTTTCCTTTTCAGTTCGTCTCGACCGTAGGACTCTTCCTTGAGGACAATATCATCGAAATACTGGACGAAAAGACCGATTTCGTCATCTGTAAGCACCGAGTTCATCTTTGAGACTAACAGCAGCCCATTTGCAGCCGTCAACCGGAATGAAACCTCTTCCTTGACCGTCCCCATCAAGGCCTGACTATATAGGGCCACAAATTTGTCCTTGAAGTGTCCGACAAGATTCTGTCTTCCTTCAGGATTTTTGGGGCTTGGGGCAGTCCAAGACCCGTATACTTCGATGGCAGCGTCGAACAACTGGTTCGCAATCTCCAAGATCGCTCGCTGTTGCACTAAGCCCGTCGAGGTTTGGTAAATGGCTAAGAGGGCTGGTCCAACAGTCTGGACCACAATTTCGAAAGCTTCTACTGAGGCTGACGACACTGCTTTGAGGATGTCCCCTGAAGCTTTTGACTGCCGTGTTGCCGGCTCCTGTAGATGTTCCAGACATTCTTTGTTGATAGGCATCAAGTATTGGTGAAGGGGCGATGTTATGGCGTTTTGGGAGGTATTGGCAGCGGTAGATAAGCACGTTGCGATACCTTTCAGGACATGCAGTGCTTCTTCGGCCAACTCTGGCTCTTGGGCTTGCAGTACCTCAAACTTGACGGCATCCCAAAGTGGTATAGAGAACTGGGTGAGTGTTTCAGAGTCGTAGTTTGTAACACAGGCAGTCATAGTCTGCAAGCAATCCTTCTTCACTGTGGCAGAGGTAGAATCGAGACGATCCAACATATTGGGAAAAGTGTACGGTGCAAGGACTCCCGTAGAAGACAGACATTCGCGCAGTCTGTCTTTCAGATCCTGAGCTGTGATACCGTAAGGATCAGTTGGAGGTGGACGGAATGTGATTGGGAAGTAGGCGTATACTGAGTCGAACATGGTTTGGACATGGTCCCTGATGTCCCATTCGACCATGAGAACCCTCAGCATGGAGAATATCAACATCAGATTCCGGGGGTCTTTTTCGCCTGCCACTAGATCCGTGATACCAAGGAGGGACTCATCCTTCATATCCCTTACGGCTGCCATAGATTAGTAGGACATCCGGTGTATAGATCCCGCTCAATCCTACCTTTCCGATGTTGATCTAGGAGCTCGTTCAGGAGCTGCAGGATCCGATACCTGCCTGCCTGATTCCGTGTCTGCAAGTCGGTGAAATGCTCGAATATTCTACCAAACATGTCAGCCAAGCCCGACCGCACAGCTTCGCTGCCAGCCAACCTTGGACCACTTTTGGGCAAGTCCCTGGACGGCTGTAGTGTGGTGGTCCGCACTCACGCTCTCACAACTGTTTGAGCCATCTCATTTGTAAATCTTTCGAGGCTCTGCAATTTCGACAAGCCTTCAATTGCTCCTCCATCCTCGATGCGGTCGCAGAAGAACTGGCAAAGCACCTGGATTTGTTGTCTGGACAGGTATTTCGCAGGCAAAGCGGAAATGACGGCGACTAAGTAGGAGACGGCTCTGGCGCGGATTTTTTCATCTTCGTCGTTGAGATACTCGCCCAGTGACTGGACGACTTCAATCAACGTCGTCTGGCGACTCTCGAGTTCTTGACTGTTAGTCAATAAGCCGGTCCGATCGAGGCATTTGCGGACTTACTCTGTGCGGCCGACTTTGCGATTTCGGCCGCTTCCAGTTTGTTATTTTCGATGGCAAGCACATAGTTTCGTGTATCGGAGAGAGCCATGACACATATTGAATGTTGAAAGGATCCCCGGAGCTAGAGGCGAAGCGATCAGACCACGAATCGTGTTTCGTCCCCGGACTGCGCAGACGGCTGGCTACGTCAAAAAGATTTCGGCTTAGAATCCCCCGTATTGCCTGTAACAAGATTTGTTCGCCTATATTTCCTAATTTGGTGACGCAGAAGCTAGTTGGTGCTAGCTCGCTAGTCATTCACTAGCGCCTTTTGTGCCTTCTACGAGGCACAACAACATTCATCTTACAGCCCCTGCTCAAGAGATCCTCCATGTTAGACATCTTGCGCCATCAAATCTCCCAGCTCAAAACTACCATGCAATGGCTCGGCCACCCCTCTGTCTATTCAAACGGGCATCACCTGAGCGGCATCCCCAGACCAAGTTTACAATCAATGCCACTTGCGCCTACCGAAGTCCTCGGAACTGTCAAAACAATGTTCATGTCCACGGCCTGGAGCAAAACTACAATCGATAGTATGAGCGTTGTAGCTTACAAGCTTCGCTGACTGGGAAATTTTTTCCCTATTTGCTCTCATACCTTACTTCCATCCATACTACCAGCAATTCTGCCCAATGGCAGTCGGAGCAGTCGGAGCCTAGTCGTGCTGGGAGCGAACCGGGTTCAAGTTCCTCGGGACGCCGCAAGGTATCTCCGTCCATCTGTTTTGGGCTCTATAGAATGTCATTACTGCTCCGAAATGCACAGCACCAGTTCCTTTCCTCGCCGAATTTGCAGCGGATACCGCTCTGAGGAACGTGTATGTGATTTTGACAAAGATGGCTGAGAATAAGAGCCTGAGCCGATATGCTGTAAGTTGAGGACCTAGCGATCTTGGACCCTTACTAACCCTATTAGTGCGACTACTGTTGGAAGAAAAAGGCATGTGGATGTCACAATGATTGGAAGGGCAGCTCGCATTTTCTGCCTTCGACGACGATCATCGTTCTAGTGCATTGCTCATACAAGACAGCTCTGCTGTTCTCGTGAGAAGCCCAAATGCAAAAACTGCTGCTGCTGGACGGGTGATTGCATATATTCTCGGGAGCCATCCGAGAGCAAGCAGCGCCCGATACTTAGGTAGCGCCGACACCTGAAGCTTCACTACGCCCTTTGGCTGATTGCCCGCAGAGAACCCGCAGCAACAAATGCAGTTTTAGAAGAAGCCATTCAGCCTCAAGCGCCTACTCCGGGATTCGCAGCCTTTCAGGGTCGTTCAGATGCACAAACGGATCATGATCAGCGGCTAGAGTTCGCCAACGACGCTCTCTCCAGCGTTACCTCAACCTTCTCTCATACATGGGACATCCTAGAATGTGATCAGATACACCAGAGCCTTGCAGATATCACAATTCAAGGTACTGGCATGCTTTCTGATCTTTATAGCCAATTCAAAGACTCCACCTATGACTACGACAAGATCAAACCTGAGGTAAGAATGACGAGGCGAGAGTGAGAAGCCTTCTTTGTTCCAACTGAGCCAGTCGGACAGTTGTTCGTTCAATGTGAGCCTACCCTGGTATCACAGGGCTCAAAGTGCTCGAGCTGACCTCTTCATAACTTTCTCGCTGCAATCGACCGAGCATATCCCCTCATCAGTCAGCCTCCCCAGGAAATGTTGTTTGACTCAGTCTTTCATCCCTCTTCAGTGAAACTGCGAGGTTGGGTGTTGATCTTGAACACCATTCTTGCAACGGCATCCACACAAAGCCAGCGGCTGTCTGCATATAATTTTCATTTGCGCTGGAATGCTTGGTTGGCTGCGGATGAGGCCAGTCTCTTTATGGACCCAACCATACTCAACATACAAGCATTAACCATCTTCGCCGTCCACGGACAAGATCTCGTGACGCCTAGCCTGAGTTGGAACCTTACAAGCCAGGCTTGCCGGATGGCTCAGATGATCAAGCTTCCTCTTCCGTCGACGCCTGCGACAAAGAACAGCGAGGTGTATTCGCGCAACCTCTTCCTTTTCTGGAGCCTTTTCATTATTGACAAGTCACCGTCACTCTCCTTTGGATGCCGCCAGCGCTACCTGCTGCATTATACCGAAAAATTGACCTCCCTTCTCCTCAACAGCTTTCGACGTACAGACCCCATCTGGCAAACTCTTCTGCTGGGCCCGATCTTCCACCCAATGTCGAATTCTTCGGTGCATTCTATTTTATCCAATGTACAAAGCTTGCGATGATTATGAGCGATATTTCAGATTTCTATCTGTTCGGCAGCCATGAGTCAAGACATCATTTAGAGCTCAAGAAGAAACTCGACGAGTGGATCTCTGTAGTTCAACAGGTGGGACAACTCGCCCGAGGGTGAATTGATACTAACGTCACCTATAGAGTCAGTCCATGCACACAAATTAGCCCATGCAACTGACCCGGCTAGGGTCTCTATCAGGCTTGGATTCAGCTTTCTGAGTTATCAATATCATCACCTGGTTGTCTGCCTAACAAGAGGTGACAAACCTTGTCATGAGACATGTCTTGGCTCTGCGAGAGCTGCCATATCGCTCTTGAAAAGGCTAGTTGCTCACTCTGAAGAAGTTTTCAATGGCATTATCTGGTATAGTCTGATCTCGTAGTGTGTGCTTTCTTGAAGCTTACCATTCTGCAGGCAGCAGTTGTATTCCCCTTTCACTCCTTTCTTCGTACTTTTCGGTGAAGTCATCACCAATCCGACTTCGAAGACCAGTGTTGAAGATTTGAAGGTGCTCCGACAAACGGTGTTATATTTTCTCGAGTTCCAAAAATACCACACTTCTGCAGTGAAACTGGAAAGAGTAGCGGAAACCTTTACAAAGATCGCTGAAGCCTACGTCCGTCATGTGTTCAGAAAACAAAGTGGCATGACCAGCAGCGATCATTTTCGTATCAGCAGGGCTATGATTCTGCCTGCTCAGCCTGGAAGTTGTCCTACGACTGCCTTCGCTACATCAGACTTTGCAGCATCGCCAGCGACCCCTAGGGATACGAACCCTGTCGGCCCCAATATTAGGATGGGTGACCATATGTCGGACGAGCGAAGCAATCTAGACCCCACATCACTCCTACACCTCCTTTCCTATCAAGGCGATGGCGCGACTCCCTTCCGAGATTTACATATCACTGATATCCAGCCGGAGAGCTTGCAAGGGGTACAACAACACGACGCCGGCAACGACAATGATCAAGTTCTGGAAAATTGGCAAAGATCTGACCAGAACGTGTCAGTACGTGACGTCGAAATGAACGGAAGAAACCAGTTCTCGCACTGCACATTCGACTGGTTTGCGCTTGAGAAATATGCTATTTAGGGAGCACGGGATTTTGGATGCAGCTCTGAGCCCTCTGCAGGAATTTATTACACTGCGGAATGCGCCTGGAGAGATTGCATGAATCCTCTGGGCAGCGGTTTCAGCCTTGTCATGTTCGAACCCCTTTTGACCAAGCCTCGTTCAACGGCATTTAAACCAACGCTGCTTTGTCATATGGATAAGGATAATCAGCACTGCTCCTAACTACAACTATATATTCTGCTGTCTACGCGGCTCTGTATAGCTCTCCCTCCCTCTCTCTCTCTCAGGGTCTATATATGCTCTCCCATTTGACTGTGTAAGAGGAATGAGGGAATATACGACAAATCGGCACACAGAACTTCCAGGTATTCTTTTGCGTTGGCCGTTAGATATCCAGGCCGATTCCGATCTTGATATTCAACACTCAACACCTATTCCCGAGAGTCAACTGATTGTACAACGGATGTTCGGAATGCTTAGGGGTATCCCGATAATGTTGAATAGGCGACTGCACAGCCCCGACAGGCGGGCTAAGTGGGGGCCGTTACCCGCTGACAAGGCTGACCAGGAAAATTTACACTTCCGGTTACCGTCTTTGTTGCAGACAGAGCGAGAGTAGATTTTTCTGCTTGATTGTGTCCTCCTTCTAAGGGACTCTGTCTATCTATATACTACTTGCACTGTGGCAGCAAGCCGTCCGCTGAACAGATCTGAACCTGGCCAGATCTGTCCAGGCCTCGTTATCGACCAACGGTGACACTGAGGCTGTTATAGAGAGGCCTCGGTTGGAGCATTGGTGGATTGATTGGTTTGCCACAGTGGCGATCTGCTGTCCACAGTCTTCAAGATCCAACCAACGATTCCAAGACATCGCTCGTTGAGATGGATTCAAAATCCAGCAAGGTCAAAAGCTTCCGCACGTCAAGTAAACCGAAATCAGAACCACCGATAACAGTCAATACCTATTATGAACAGTACAAAACTGAGAATATGCAAACAGTCTACAAAGACTACTACCCTTCAACAGACTCAAGTCGAGAAGAAAGAGACCTGCTGATAACAAAGCGCCTAGAAGTGTCCAAGGCAGCCAAACGGCTTGAGGCAGACAAAAAGGCCTTCACCGCCGCCAATCACCAGGCAGCACAGGAGAGGGAGAAAGAGGGTGTGAGAGAATACGACTGGGCGTAGGCGAGGCATCAAATCTTCCAGAATTCGGAAGAGAAGACATGAATTTCACCACGACAAATGCTTGTTCTGCCTTTGTAGCTCATCGGAACCTTCTGGAACCATGGACAGATTGCAACCAAAAGTTGACTATCCTACCTACCAAATCAACGTTAATTTTGAACCTATTCGGAATAGCGAAAAGAAATCATTTTCTCAGAGGATCCAGGCCCGGACACGTCCATAAAGAAAACCGGTATGGAACTCTTCGCCGTCCTCACCCAAGATTTGCTTTCAACCATGGAGCAGAGCTTATCCTCAAAGGCCTCCTAAAGCGGTCATATCGTGTGAATGGCGCACTTCACACGGCGAATACCGAAGCGTTCGTGGGACCTTACTGCAGCAGTCACTGCTTTGAGGTGATGCTATATCTTTGGGTTACTGTTGATAGATGAGAAGGCTGTCACGGCCCGGTGCCCCCAAACCTGGAAACGACGCCGCTGTGACAACTATGGACAAACAATGGCGACCAACTTTTCTTCATAGTGCTCTTTTTCCTCCTCTAATTCTTCTCTCAAACTACAGCATACTATGAAACCCAACTCCATTTTGTTTCCACCAACTGATTGCAAAAATTTCCAAACAAAGAGATCGAGATGTCTTCTGAAGACGATTATGACTACCTGAGCCAACATACTACCTCCCAAACACGGGAGCAACACTCTTACCTCTACCCTACCTCAGGGCGCCTCCCACCACGAGGTCTATTTTCTGGACACATACCGCGAGAATGATTCCATTCCTCCAGACAACCATTCGAGGCATATGGAAGAGAAGCGAGCAGTGACCGTCGACAACGATCAGGCCGCGAGGGCTCGCGAGACTGCAGGCTCGGTGGGCAGAGACTGGGCATATAATAGTTCAGACTGGAGACATTCGGACTCAAAGAGACATTACGACCCAACTCTTTAGCTCTGAGCTGAAGACACAATTTTGGATCTGGCGTCAACTGCTGAGATTCTTTGAGAGTTACAGGGCGACAGGCCTTCTTGGTGGCCAGGACTGTCAACATGCAGGTTTAGGCTCTTCTGCTAGCGCTTGGATTCTGATTCATGTACGGAGTAAGCTGTGATTTGAGACCTTCTTCTTCGTCTTAAGTGGCTTCAGACTCGGATTGGGTCGGCTAGGACATCGTTCCTATTGCATGGCGAATATTCCTTGGTATGCCTTAGATTTTAATATTTTTTCTCATTGGAACAATATCGTGAAGGGGCGGCCATATGCTATGACAAGGTTAACGAGTGTAATATTTAATATTCTTCACGAAGCTGCAGCGTCCAATAGACACTCTAACAAGCTAACTTTCCGCATAATGAGATATACGTTAGTAATCGCCCTTCCTTCCTCTAGATGATGTGATAGCAGAAGCTTCTGCGATGTCACAAACACACAGCGATGCGGTGCGACCACTGCCATGTCAGTACCACCTTCAGCTCACAAGGTTCACACAGTGAAAGACACAAGTGGGCGAAGTAGTGACAGTCGAAGGCATGTTATTTAACCAGGCATTGCTTGCGCATTTTTTCCTAGCTCATCTATCATCCCATAAGAAGAGGCATGATCCAATTTGCAAGGACATCAATGCTCCATCTCAACACCAAAATCAAGCAAACAAACGATCTCCACAACAGACAATACCTTCCGACGATCCCAGTGGTACTCCTTGAGCGTGCCATCAGAGATCATCCGAACCCTACCTACTCCTGCTACGATCGCACCCAGTTTGACGCCAACACAGGAGAATAATGGGCACATGCCTCATGTTCCCATAATCTAGCAGCTCGACATCGGGTATTCTGGGGCTGATCCGGCCCGGACTTTGCTTACTCTAGCAGTGACTCGAGGCAGTGGGACTCTAAGAACCAAGGGAGGTGAACAGAGAACATTCTATAATGCCCCTACGGGGAGAAAAGACGAATCAGGGGGCATTTGGCAATAAAGGATCCAGATGTCGCCCAAATAGGTGTCTATATCCTTCTCAGAAGAGCCAGATTCTGTCGTACTGATCAGCAACATCTCCATGACGAAATTGTGGCCCAAGGCATCTTTCATGTACCTCTTCCTCATGCGCATTCATGCGTTTATAGAGGATGAGCAATTGCAAGATCGACGGCATTGCTCTCTCTGTGGTTTCCATGACGATTTCTATGCAGTTGCACTCCCCTGCAATGAATGGAAAAAAGGTATGTAGAGCGTAAAAAGGGTCAGAATACAGACTAGGGTCGGGTATGCTGTTCAAGTCTACATTATATTCTTCGCCCTCTGAATCGTTCACTGGGTTGTCATGCAGAACCCTCTTCCAGTGTTTGCTGTTGCTTGACATGCCCGTCTTTTGCTTTCTAATATTAGTGTACATAGGCTGTTTGCGATTATACCGCCTCCAGGCCAGTGTTTTGTTCGCGACTTTGTCCCAAGAACGATCACTCCTTGTCCAGGAGCTCGAAAACAGATAAGTTTTTAACTTTGCAGGTTTGATTCGTACCACAACCAAGTTCATTCCATACATCCTCACAGGTATTCTGGCCACGAAGACTTGCGATGATTCTAGCGGCTTCCTCGCACGAGGTTTCTCCGCCGGAAGTACCAGGTCTTTGCTCAGACGGAGCAGAGAAACCTCGAAGGCGCTTGTTCGTAGGGTGAACACGACATGAATGGCAATGTCCGGCTTCACACTCGCCATCGCGGGTTTGGCCCCTAATTGAGGTCGGACTATCTAGAGCCGCCGGAGATCGATGGTTAGATAGACGAATATGGGATTCAACTTCTGCTGGCTGTAGCGGGTCTATGCTCGTTGACGGACCTGCGAGAGACTTGATGTAATCATCCTCTGGAGGTTTACGAAGAATCCTAGGGTCTTGTTGTTTTTTTTCGCTCGGACAGGTTGCTTCTGTCAGGCTGGAATGTTGGGTCACTCCAACCCCAAGCGATTCTTCAGGATTGGGGGTCAATGCAAGAGTGGATACTGCTTCTTCTGATGGTCTCGAGAACTCCGTTTTACACCCTTTTCGAAGAGGTTGTTTCATGAAAATATCCGCGGCGTCTTTAGATTCAGAAAGGTACTGGCTGATTTGATGTGAGTCAACCCCAAACCGCGTTTCGAGCAGCCGCCGGAGGAGCCGATTCTCTCTATCTACCCGCTGAGCTGCAACTTGGACCTCTTGTGTCGCCCGGACACCATCACTTTCCAGCTTCCGGATACGCTGCTCGAGTTCTTGGACATAGGCTTGGCGACGAGCGCGGAAATTGCGTTGGTTAAGACGATTTCTGTCGACTGTTTGCTTCTGCAGAAAGCCCTACCGTATTTAGTAAGAGATTGCAAGGGTAACGCCACGAGAGATGGGATGTCCGTACCCCAGAAGCCATATTCTCAGATGCCAAAGAATGGACTGCACAGCTTCCCTCGGGCTAGCGATGTGTATGATGCAGAGAGGAGGTAAGCATTGGAGCACAGTGATCTTTGTAGGTATTGGTAATATGCAGCCGTAGGCATCTGCCATGCGTCCTCGAGGAAGTACGAGGTAATCCGCGGTTATCAGGATCCCGTTTAATTGCTCAAAAGTGACGAGAAAGTTCTGCTCGCCGCGTCAAAAAAAGCGGCGACGGCCGGAACCGGAAGAACCATCAACTCCGGATGCCCAGCCTTGTCAGCCTCATCAAGTAGCCAATCACCATGGCCCAGTGACAAAGCGATCTCGCTTTAAAAACAAGCCTCCAAACCGTCTCACATCCAGGCCAATATACTTTCCCATCTTTCTCTAGCAAGCAGAGGCCACAGGTCAAGGGTCCGATCACTGCCTATCGTGGTGCAGCTCCCTCCAGCCTCGCCAGGGCCTGATGAAGTTGTCCAACAGTATCAACTTCGCCCATGTCAACCTGGTAAATCTATCAAGATCTCTACCGCTTGCACCACTCAGCCATTTCACTGGTGCACATCCATTTCTGGTCTCAGCTGGAAGGACATCCAAATCCGGATACCACAACATGACGGCGACCTCTACTCCACGATATCCTCTAATCTGTGCTGAAGCACAAGATCCGAGGATACCTCCAATGGCTGCAAAATCTGACCAGCCATCATCGAATGGCGACCTCAACAATACAGCGTCCATGCGCGTGGTCCTCAAACCAGTACGTCGTACTGATTTTGCATACCGATCACTTGCTATACCGGCATCTGTGGATGATCCTTTGATCCGTTCGAGATATCGACCGTTCCTACTCCCCGAAGAAATCCAACAGCAGGACTGGGTCAGCAGGCTGGAGCTTGCCACTGCGACCGAATTGGCGTACAACGACTTAAGACTCACTGGCGAGAGGATCAAGGTTTTGGTATTATACGGGAGTCTTCGTCAGAGGTAAGATCCCCTTGGAGCTCTTTCGGCTTGGCACATCCTGATCCTACTTAGGTCTTACTCGAAATTACTTGCCTTTGAAGTCTCCCGTATCCTCTGGCGGCTCGGCTGTGATGTACGGGTCTATAATCCGCAAGGGCTGCCTGTCAAAGACGATGAACAACATAATCATCCGAAGGTACAAGAATTGCGAGAACTCAGTCGCTGGAGCGACGGGCATTTCTGGGTGTCACCGGAGCAGCATGGTAATCTCACCGCTGTCTTCAAAAACCAAATCGATTGGATCCCTCTCAGTACTGGATCAGTGCGACCTACACAGGGACGCACCTTGGGATTGGCAATGGTCTCCGGCGGCTCGCAGTCTTTTAACACCGTGAACAGCCTTCGTGTCCTGGGCAGATGGATGCGGATGTTCACCATTCCCAACCAGTCGTCGGTTCCGCAAGCCTACACCTTATTTACAGACCAAGACGCGGATGAGGGTGGGTCGAGGCTGATGCCAGGAGGCAATCGGGATCGACTGGTGGATTGCGCCGAGGAATTTGTGAAATATACGGTCATCATGCGGCCACACTTTGCCTTGTTTAGTGACCGTTTTAGCGAACGAGAACC